ACCGAGTTGCTGTAATATTTAATCATTCACACACTCACATGAATTAACCCATATTTGTTTTCTGGGTATATTTGTTGAACAGATCTGATGAAAAATAAGACATTTTAATCTGAAACCTTCCGAATGAATACATTCTACAAACACACCATTTGTTTCAGAAGTGGAAATATTTATGGTGAGTGATGGTGCCTTTCTTTTTTTTTTGGAGAGGTTTTTGCTACAGGGCACATGCGCTCTCCAGAAAGACAGAGAGAGACAGAGAGACAGAAAGCGAGAAATCAGCCCGCAGGGGAAATGGCCATGCAGCAATCCCTTCTCCATTCTCCCCTTGGGATCTTGGGCATGCACGCACACACGCCTGGTGTGAGTTTAAGCCACCAGGTCCGGGACTTGAATTGTGGTTGACTACATGGGAGTCCAGCTACATAGCCATTACGCTAACTGCTGGTCCCAGTAATGGTGCTTTTTAAGGGTAGGATGCTGATCTTCCACTTAAGAAGCAAGTTCTCTCATTTCAATAGAAATAGTGTCATACATAACTTGCAGAAGTAAACACAGAGCACATTGGGGAAACTATAGGATTTATATACCAATAAATGCCATGATTGGTGTGAATGAAAAATAGGAGGCGGTGAAGTTAGAGTAAGGATAAAAGCAACTGATTAACTGACCAATAAAATTTGAAGGAGTATAACTTCTAGGGTTTCCTGTGGATCTGAACAAGAGCTCTGTGACAAAATGATCCTTTGGGTCCCATCAGTTCATAGACATGTTTTGTATGGTCCAAATTTGTTCTTAAAATAAACTCATAGTATTACATAAAATGCAAATATAGGGATTCTCTTGAAAAATTGAAAAACTTGGCAATACCTAACCTATTTTTTTCCTAAAGAAACATTTGTTCATTCCACTAGAGATGGCACCTCCAGCAGAATTCCCACTCTACAATCCACTTTCCCCTTCTTCCAGTATATGCCATGAATATGTGTTTATACAGGGCAGCCCCAGGAAAAGAATCTGGGGCCTTCACATGTGGGTTCAGTCATGATACTGTTGTATCACCATCCAGGCTCTGGTCTCACTTTTTTTTTTTTTATTCCAATTGCCAGAGACAGAGAAAATGGGGGGTATCCTCCCCACTCTGACCCCTGTGGGGTGCGGTCTTGCTGCAATCCCTTTTTCTCCAGTTCTATATTCTGTTGAGATCTTGGGCACATACATACACATGTCCATTGTGTTTTTCAAGCCACCAGGGCTTATATTTGAACTGTGGTCAGCGATATAGCATCAACTCACTTAACAAGTAGGCCATGGGGCTATCCCATGGGTGCACATTCTTTATTGGCAATAATTGGCTGACAAGCTTTGAGGTATGCAGTGTTACTGTCATTATTTTCACTCCCTCCATACTCTAAGGACTTCGTTAAATTACACTGTCCTTTATAACAGTTGATATTTAAGAAACTGATTTAAGAAACCTCTGTGACTCTGATTTATAGTATAGAGATCCATTCATTTAATAAGTTGTTTTGAGGACCAGGAGATGAGGTAATGGTTACATCCTTAGACTCCCTCATAGGCAACTGCAGCTTGAGTCCTGGACCCAGCAGCTTAATACACCCAGTGCATGTGCATTCATGCCCAAAATCTCGAGAGATAAATAGAGGAGAACGGAATGTAGTGTGGCCATCCCCACAGTGTGTGTGTGTGTGGGGTGATGTCTCACTTTCTCTCTCTCTTTCTTTACAGTGAGCACATGTGCCTTATAGCAAAAATTTCTTTAAAAAAATTACTTTTTCATCATGTGAGATTGGCATATCAACTGATATTTGGCATTTCAGTTCCTAAATAATTGATTTGCCTCCTCAAGAGTCCATTTATTTTATTTAAAAAAAAGAACAATCCTAGGTTTTGAAAAGTTCCTGCAAATTTTTTTCTGGTTGCTTAAATAGGTCTATCCAAGAGCTCTGTATAGTATGGTGGGCAGCACCATCTTGGAAGTTGACAGCTACATTCTATTAATAGTGTTATTGTAGTGGTGGTGGTCATTACAGATCCCTGATTAATCAAAGAGATTTTCTTCCACCCTAGCTTGAAGGTAGAGTATAAGTTAGGTGACATCACAGTTATGAACGACAGATATGATTATGATTCCAGTGAGCAAGAACTATGAAATCAAGTGTGGGTATTACAAAGGCAAAGAATAGAGGTAAAGCCCCAATTCTTAGTAGATGGTTTCTGAATTTATTGCTGGATATGCCATATCCTGTTTTTTTCATTTACGATAATCAAACTAGAGTTTAACTTCTAACAGAAAATGTTTTGTTTTATATTCTTCTTGGACATATAACAGAAATTTCATCATTTTTGTTGAGTGGTAATTAATGTAGATTTATAGGTGGCTAAAAAAATAGCAAATTGCATAAATCTGTGTGGATGAAAAGATGGGTAAATAAACCCTTACCCCTTTAATAGCCAATGATTTCAGAATGAAAATGTAACTATGATGGCCTCAGAGTTATGGCCTGCAACACCTGTCTCCAGCCTGCCTCTTCAACCTCATCTCATGTCATTTCCTCCTCAACTTTTTAGCCTCTGGCTCCAACCATGACCTTCGGTACACTAACCTTTTTTTCACTTTGCAGTCTTTTGCACTTATATTCTTTGCCTGGACAGGTATGAGGCTCTTTCTTATTCTCCAGGTCTCAGTTTGGTATGTATACATAATTGCCTCTCAGTGTATTTCCTTGTATTTTGAGGTGTGTGTGTGTGCGTGTGTGTGTGTGTGTATTAATCTTCAGAAAAGGAGCATTTTAAACTTTTATTTTCCCATAAAGCAAGAGATTGGGTGATGGGGTAAATGATTCATGGCTATTGTGGGTTTACACTGACCTCTTACTCTGAATGTTTCCCAGAAGCCATTATCATAATTTTAATAAAGCAATATCACAATCATGAGGGACATGGAACACAGAGACAATAACAGATACTACACCTCATCCATGATTGTCTTTTAATGTCAACCCTTTAGAAGGAAGAAAGGCTCACTTGCAATTGAAATGCGAAATCACATTTGGAGTCCTTAAGATGGCACAGGGAGAAACATCGTGAGTTGGGTGGTAGTTCTAGGTTTATGATTAATTAGTTGCAAACTCTAGACAAATCACTCACTCTCAGTGCTGGTTTTCTTATCTGTAGAGGTGAAGGTGAGGTGTTGGGTCACTTGTTTTCAAGCTGTGCTCTGTTGAAAGCTGTGTAAGGATGAGGTATACTAGCTCTTCAACCATCTTGGTGACAGAAGACTAGCTCTTCAATGCCCTATTCTAACCAAAAACTGTTCTCCATTTATCCAATTTTTGTGCTGAATCACTGAATACATTTGATTTTTAAAATGGGTCTTATTGTCTGAGAATATCTGAAAAACACTAGAGTGGACAGTTTGCAAAAGCTGTGATAATTTTTTGATAATACGAAAAATTATAAATTGAAATGTAAAAGATTTAAATGAAACCCACTCTATGTAAGGCACTATACAGGATGCTAGATTTGAACTGTACATAGAGCTAGTTTATATAGTTAATATGAATGATGCATGTTGCATGTGAATATATACTTCATATAGAGATATATGCGTTGTATGTTGCATACGACTATAAATGCATAGGAATAACTATTATATATCACTATTTATGCATGTGTACTACGTACAGCCTAGAAGAAAATAATGAGGCAAAGTAGTGTTTAATAGATACGTGTTTAGTTAATGTATAAACTTTCATCTTCCCTCATATTTTACTCTCTTAAATTAACAATGCTTTTTACACTATTAATGTTGGGATTTTACATAAGGGCCCACCGTTTGCCCAATCCCTGACATAGAGAGTCACAAATGATTCTTGTAAATGTCTCTAATTTCCAAGGAAAATTGAAAGTTTTTTAAATGTAATTTTAATAAACACTTTTAAAAGAGTTACTTTCAAATTCCCTTCTCTAAGATTCCATTTAAATAATTCAAATAAAATAGATGTGTTCTAATTTACTATGCTATACCAGTCTTTGCCAAATGCTGTGATCATAATTAAGTTGATTTAATGTAGTGAACTCCAACTTCACTAAAGATTGAGTATCCTCTCTATTGTACAAATACCAATAAAAAATAGTAACTGGAGCATAGAGTTTTAAAGTAATAATTCTAATATCTGGAGTCTAGGTATTATTTTAACATTGTTGGGGGGGTGAAAAATGCATGAATTTAGTTCAGGTAGATGAATTCAGGAGCTTTTAGGTATTAAGAACTAAGATGTGATTTATCTGAAACTACAACTGACGGTTGAATTCTCACCTCAGATAAAATGTGATTTACACTTTTTATTCATCTTGTATCACTTGATAACTGGCAGCTCTTAAAAATGTGGTAGTGGCTCAAGTGGAAACAAACATTCACTGTTTTAAGATAATTACTGGTCATACAAAAGTGACTCCTTTTTCCATGTGAAAGGCAATGTGGTTTAGTGGAAACAGCACTGGACAGGAATTACAAGGCTCGGTTACCAATACTAACATGCTGAAAATCAGCTAGCTGACCAGAACTCCTGAATCCATGCTTCTGTAATGTAGGAAAAACACTATTCACATATACTGTGATAATTTGTATTAATGACTATGAAATATTAATAATTATAGGAAGACCTTGTAAATTATCAAATAATATCTAAAACTAATTCAAAGACAAATTCACTTTCAATGGGAAGAAATGCTTTTAGCATTGCTGCTTCTCAATTGTGGTAGTGTTACTTTTAAGACAAAGGAGAGAATTATTTTAAAATTATTATTTTCTTATTGTTATCCTTCTCCTCTTTAACCTATCAGAAGTTTTTTTTAGTCTACGTAAGCTGAAGGAGTGAGCATCGGAGTTCAGTAGTTGGAAAGATAAGTCTGATGCAATTCGAGCTGACCTACAACATTTCATCAATACATTTCACAGGGTTCTCAATACTAAGTATGCAGTGGATGGGACAAAATCACAACAGGCAACTTTATTTTTAGAATTTGATCCAGAAATCAAAAAATAAATAAAAGCTGAGTCTCTCTTTTGCCAGTATACAAAGCAAAACCAAAAAACACATTGACATTTACTATGACATCATTGACATGTATTTGCAAATGATCTGATCAGGGAAACATGAGTTACAACTGGGGAAACTTCTTTTAACAACCGTAGACTTGAATGCACTGCACTGTAGATCACCTAGACTGGGGTAGCAAGAATGAGCAAAGTGCTAGGTCCGAAAGGCAACCCCAACACCTTCCTTAGATGGAGACTTTGGTAATTGTCTGTGGTAGGAAAAAAAAAAAACAAAAAACCAAAAACAAAAAACCAAAACACCAACTATTCTTCATCATGTTGGATGGTCATTTTGTCAATCTTTCTCCTGTGATGAGTCCATTTTAAATACTTTAATTATTCTGAAGACACTCCAAATCCACAGAACAGCAGACTCTCCCATTCTGCACAAAGACACAAGTGTTAGCCAATGGAGGGAAAGAATATAAACAATTAGCATTTTATGATTTGTATATTTAAAACAACTTACTATTGGGTCATCAAAAAAGTCATGATCTATTTTTGTATAGAGAAAACAATCAAATATATTCTGAGAAAAATTCCAAATGCTTAAAAAAATGCTAGAAAAAAATGCTTGAGAAAGAGTCAAAAGGAAGAAAGGACTGATCGATAACCCTTCAGGGTTCCTTTTTCTAGGGTTCTGTTAGCAGTACCATTTCATAGCCACACTTCACCCCGCCCACTCAGGGACGGCTCCCTGGTGTTTCCAAGTCTTCACACAACTCATTTGCTGGACTTGTTTCAAATGAATGTCTTTTCAAAAATAAATCCCTGAAAGATGATGATTAGCCGTTTTTAAAGCTAATTAACAAATAACTACAATAATCTGAAGGCAAATCCAAGATGCATTCCAGAAAGATTTTCATTATTAGTGAGAAATATTAAATCTCTCATGCTGGCTATGAAGGGAATAGGACACATTTAAATGTACAAATTTTTAGAAATGTATTTAGAATCAATTTTATGTATTAATGTAGATATATCTTTATAATTCCCCTTAAAGAACCTCAAACCTGACATCAAAAAAATAGTACATAATACAACAGGTCTTTAGTTTTCTGGGGCTAATGGGACCATGACTCATTTACTAAGTGAAATCTGATATTATCCTATTTCTATTGGGGTTACATATGAAGATGGTATTTTTTAGGAAGGAGAAAAGAATTCACATTTATAACAGTGTAAAGAGGCAAGCTGGGAACCTTCCACTGACACCTAAAGCTGAACAAGAGTTGATGGTACCAAGAAGACTAATATTTTTAGCACGCTCAGTCATGGGAATCTTAAACAGATATTCTGGCAGAGCTTCTGCTAATCGTGACTCCAAACAAACTGAAGCTACAGCATTTCATGAGTTTTGATGGGAAGGGATGGTCAGTATTTTTAATCATAAAAAATATACGAGGGTATTCTCATAGGGCTCCAAAAAGACAAAGAAAATAATACAATTATTTTGATGATTAGGCACTCTGATAATTAAAGCAATAAACTTCACTGAGCACCTTTTAAAAAATAACATTGACAATTTCATGAAAAAAAAAATACTAAATTTTCCAAGATGAAATAAGGTAGATCTTCTTCCTCCCTTTCAATAAGCAATTTACAATAACTTATCTGTGAGCCTGGCACCAACTTTTAAGTTTAGAGGCAAGAGAGATTATTTTATTCCCTGTTTATTTGGAATATGCCTTTAGACACAGTGTGGCTAGGATCCATTTAGACACATTCACTTCTGGGGGAAGTACATGCATCACTTGGGTCTCCAGTTGGTCCCTATGGAACCTGCACATTTAGAATCAGCAGGAGTGAATCTCCTGCAGTGTTTGCTGGCTACTGTTCAAGGCCTGAATATCCTTAGGACTGCCAATTACCTTGCATTTACAGGTTGTGCAGGGAGAGCCGGCCATTGTCCACACTGAGCCACTAAGCCTCGAAACGCCAGAGCTGTCCAGGCAAGATTTTCTGATGTCATAGGTGATGTTATCAGCCAGGCAGGGGTCACTCACACAGCGGGGACAACACTCACCCTCCAAGATGGCCGTGTACTCACACCCCAAACTGGGACAAGTGAGTGGCCAGCAATCTACCTCTCCTTCCTGTGGAGAGAAAATCAGAATTGCATCATCATTGCTCTTATGCACGATTTTATTCCCAAAGTCCTAGTCGGGGGAAGAGCACAGTAATTCTCATCATTCTCCTCACTGAATGTTTCTAGTTAGCATCACAATAGGTACCATAGACATCCCCCTGGAGGACCTACACATACACACATACACACCCACGCACCCACACACACGCACACACAGAAGATGACACGTCCTGTCATCAACTCTGACAGGATGCTCTTATGGACAGTCTCTAATACAGTCCACAGAAAGCATTAGGTTAGCTCCCTGTGTGCCAAGCACAGCTTACATTTTTTTAAGTATGCTATTTTTGATTGCCTCATCATTATCAGTACAATTCCACATTAAGTTTTGAGCTGTCAAGTTTTGGGCTTGATTTTTTTCTTTTCCAGTCAATTCATGGTAATAATATGAATAAATAAATGGAAAGTTACTGGCTAGTATATAAAGAAAATGAGTTTCTCCTAAGGTCAAAAGGAGAACCTGAAGCACTATTGTATTGCTATTGAATTTCCAGTTGAGGTTGCATAATATCGGAGCCATTTCAAAATGGTTTGGAATGTAATATGTAACCAGGGAGCTTTCCATAGTACAGGTCAAATGGAGCCTCTGTATGTCTCAGCACCTGGCAGGTGTGGCTCCACCGAGCTGCCATGGTACAGCTGCTTCCCTGTGCAGCCTCCTCTTCTGCGAGTGTGTGTGCGCGTGTGTAGGGGTATATCTAAAAAGTTCATGAAAAGTACATATTATGAAAAATCCACAAATTTCAATTTTTAAGAAATATCTATTATTAAGTTTGCTATAGGGCACATATGCTCACCAGAGAGAGACAGAGAGAGGAAAAGTGATAAAATAAGCCACCAGGTCCAGGACTTGAACTGTGATGGACCATGTGGGAGCCTAGTACCTTGCCACCTGTTACGACATAAGGTAACTCTTGTGTAATTGTCTATGTATTTGGTAGGTAAAGACCATAACTATCTCGCTCACCATTAGACAGTGAGTGTCCCACACAAAATGCAAAACTCTTGATAAATATCACATATGACCCATACTATTCTCAAGTGAGTCTTCAGTTATACACTCCACAGCTTCAGTTTTCCCAGAAAATAGTATCCTTAGGGGCTGGAGATGGAAGAGGATACATTTTTGTATTTCCATCTATGAAAATTTTATATATAAAGTTAATGTCAATTTTTCTGACTATTTGATGATTGGCTTCTTGAAAAAGACATAGAATCTCCTAGAAATGGAACCAGTTTTATACTTCTGTTGGATTTGTTTCTCTTGAGATGGGAGTTTGAAAAAATAACTATAATTTGAATTTATCTGAGTTATACTCTTAAGTATTCAGAGTGCTTGGGAGAACATATTCGATGAGGATTATTTGTACTTCCACTGAGAGATTTTGGGAAATCTAACAACAATTTAGAACATAATTTTTCTGAATGCTTGTTTTCATATAATGCTATTGGGTTGTTGGAAATGTCATGACGTGTTTTTTGTGTTCTATGCAATAATGTGTCATGGCTTTTCCTACAACCCACTAACAGACCGTGTCATTAATTTCAGTAAATATAAAGAGTGGACAACCATCCTATACCTTCATCACAAGTTGACTCAGGTAGTATGCTCCATGGTTAAGACTGCCTTACTGAATAAGCATTACATTTATTAGGACAATATGTCCTGAAAGTCTTCTCATCCCTAGAAATATTTGTGGTATAATTTGAAAGAAACAAACAAAAAAGGAAACAAGTCCTTTTCTCTCTTTCTTTTCTGGACTTCCTCAAATTTGATTTTACCATTAGTGTCCCTCATACATTTTTCCAAGTTTTTGTTATGGTGCACATGTGCTCACCAGAGAGACAGAAAGAGAGAAAGTGAGAAATAAGAGTAGATTTTATGAAAAGTTCAACTAGTCAAGACTGAAAGCTTTGGGTCTTGCGGAGATTTTACCTGATCTGCATTTCCTAAGAACAGCAGCTGTATACTAACTTCACTCGGGCAAAATCTGTCCCACAATACGTTCAGTCTTTACACAGCCTTTTAAATATAATCTGAAAGTTTGTAGGCAGAGCATATGCCCCTTAGTGAGACCATACGTCCTCCATCCCACTGGACACTGAATTAGTAAACCCTTCCAGAGTAAAGGGAAAACATCCTCTAAAGGTAGCTGACATACCAGACACCGGCACTGCTGACAGCTATGGGTCCAATTGTCTCCACTTCGGTAGAGCTTGTGTCCATTTTGATCTAAACATTGACTTGTGACTCTCGTGTCACACTCTGGGCAACAGAAAAGGTCAACACTTGGATTCTGGCAATCACAAGCTGTCCGTCGACAGAATATCTTCCCGTCCTGTGTAGAAATGAGGTGAAAGGAGGTTTCATCATTAGAGAAAGGTGAGAAAGCTATACTATCATAATCGAACCTTGTAAATACTACACAGAGCACATCGGAAGAAATTTCTTAAGAGTCTTAGTCATGCCCTCACCATCTCGCATTTTGGACAAAACAGATGCATGCACCTGAGTTCATGAAAACACACCTTCTTCACCCAGTCTTGCCCACAGAGCAGCCCAAGTAAAAATGGAGAGTTAAAGAAGTCAGTATGTTCTATAAAAATACCTTTTTATAAATGTTTCCTTGTAGTTCTCAGTAAGAATTATAACTACACTAAACAGCTAAAATCATTTATATGGTCAGCATTTCATTCTAATGGAAAACTATGCTACTGTGTCTTCCTATTTAGGTTATTGGAAAAGTTATGACATGTTTTTCTGTTTTTCTATGTAAAAATGCTTCATGACTTTCCCCATGACCCAACAGTTTACAATGACATCCCTAACATGTTCAAATGTGTTCATCTAATTTTGTCTCTGCTTCAACTCTGGAAAAAAAGTCTTGTTACATCTTTCTTTTTGGTGGGGGGCGGGGCAGATAAATTAACTCTGGCCCAGAGAGGCTAAGTGACTTAAGCAAGATTACACAGGTACTAGTTCTCTAATCAGTACCACAGGATCTTATTCCACATGACAGCCTTTAGGTTTTGCATTACAAGAGTTTATAATCAAGTGTACCTTCTGTCTTGAGACAATTGATGAAATTATCTATGCAGCATAATTTTTGGAGAATCGGTCTTGAGAACTCACAGTTAAAAGAATGTGAAGGCCAATAGCCTTTAAGCATTAAGACTAAACATTTTACAGCAAGTATCACTTAGATGTCTGCCCCTCATAGTAACTTCCCACCTTACACAGTGAAGAGGCTGATATTGTAAGGTAAGAGCTATAGTCATGATTTATGATTATAACTGCTTGGCTGCAGATTTACTAAACCAAAGACTCTCAAAGCTGGAAGGACACATAAACAAACCTCCTGACCTATACCTGAATGTTCTTTATAGCAATTGTATTCAAAAGTCATCAGCCTGTGATCAAAAATCTCCAGTTTCAAAGAATAACTCACCATCATAGAAGGCATTCAAAGTATGCATCTCTGTACATGTCAATGTTAAAAATTAAACTTCTTGGGACCAGCAGTTAGCGTAATGGCTATGTTGCTGAACCCCGATGTAGTCAACTGCAGTTCGAGTCCTGGACCCGATGGCTTAAACTCATGTCAGACATGTATGTGTACATGCCCAAGATTCTGAGAAGAGAATGGAGGAGAAGCGATTGCGGTGTGGCCATCCTCCCCGGGGGGGAGGGGGGGGCGTGATTTCTCACTTTCTATCTCTCTGGCTCTCTCTGCTTTCTGGTGAGCACACACACCCTATAGCAAAAATCTCTCCACGAAAAAAAAAATTGAACTTCTTGTTACCTCAATTCACCAATCTTAATTCATGTCCTTGATAATCATGGAACTCCCGATACCTTTGTCACATTCATTTCAGTTCTTCAGTACTTAAAAGACAGCTCTTACATATTCAGTAAATTGTCTTATCTCTTCATTAATCATACCTGATTTCTCCACCAGTTCCCATAGATTTTAATTCTTTAACTGTCAGAGTTGTCTCTTCCTTCAACAGTTTTGAGTATTTCCTATCATCATAATTATCATCCATAAACTGAATACTTATCTTGTGTCATATATTTTGCTAAGTCCCTTATATGTACATCATATTTAATTCTGATAATTTGTGGAATAGTTTATATCTCCATTTCTCAAGAGAACAAAATAAAATTCTTCAGTATCAGTCTATTAACACGGGGTTATCTGAGACTCATGGTCACTTTTTTAAGTGGTATACTTTAATGTTTCCTGATTTCAGTATTTACTTTCTTACTTTGGTTATGTCATAGTGTTGACTTATATTGTGCTTAATGAGGACAAAACCATCATTAAGCTCTAGCCCATCTTGTACAGCTGGTTGTTGAGAAACAGTAGGTGTGTAAGCTGATGTTTATTCCTGTTGCATTTCACCTTGTTAGATCCATTTCATCTCTTCTGACTGTCACAATGTTTGCTAAATGCTTTTTCTGTCATCCACCATAGTCCGCCCTCCTTCACAGCTTGGTGACATCTGCAAACTTGATGGACTTGCCCTCAGGGTCTTTGATTGTCTCCTCCAAAACAATGCTGATTCAGACAGAGCTTGCTGAGATAAGTTTAGTGTCAGCTAAAGTGGAAACCTTTCAAAGCTTTATATCCTTTATGGAGAATGGAAAGGAGACATGCAGGCAACATACAAAATAAAGTAACAGGTTGAAAACTTCTTACCCTCAAATTGTGTGCACTGGATGCATTACTGTGGAATGACAAGTAATCACAGTATTCCAGAAATATCAAGAGATGAAAGATTATACACACATTTTTGTGTGCATGTGTATATGTCAATATATATAGAAAGAGCTTGCAAGAAATTCTATAGGTAAGCTGGTGAATTAATCAGAGCATTCAGCTAGTTTGGAAAAAGAAGTGTTCAGATCTTAGGAATCTTTTAACAACAAGCCTTTATAGATCATATACCATTATTTTAACCCACTGGTACTAGCATATTTTGCTTGTGAGAACATCCCAAAATGACTCCCTGGAGATTTATTTTAACCAACAGAAGCTCAAAAGAGTGATGATAGCTACATCATGAATCATTTGATCAGCCAAATTTCTGATGGCATGGTATTACTCTCCATAGGTATAGAAGGGCTAAACCTGGGCCAGCGATTGATGAAGTTTACCCACCTGTATTCCACATGACTAACAGTGGATCAAGTCCTGGACTCAGCAGCTTGAAAAGCATGCCAATCACATGTGTGTACATGGCCAAATTCCCAAAAGGAGAGAGAAATGTAGAAAAAGGGCTTATGGTGAGACCATCACCCAGAAGGGTGCTTTCTAACTTTCCTTCACAGATACCTTCTGGTAAAGTAAGGATAAATAATTTTTTGAGAGGTTTTTGCCTCTCTGGTGAGGGCACATGCACTCACCAGAGAGAGACAAAAAAAGTGGGAGGGAAAGTGCGAAATCACCTCCCCAGGAAGGATGGCCACACCACAGTCCCTCCTCCTCCATTCTCCTGGGATCTTGGGCATGCACGTGTGCCTCAACATGATTTTTAAGCCACTGGGTAAAGGACTTGAATCATGGTCAGCCATGTGGGAGTCCAGTGATATAACCCCTATGCCACCTGCTGGTTCCATGAATAAATTTTTAAAAAAGGGGTAGGGGGCCTAAACCTCAAGAACCAACATGGTCATGCCATGACCAGCATCCAAAAAAGGGATACATTCTTTTTGAAGAGGTTATTGTACAATTGTCAATGAGACTCAGGACATTGAACTTCTTCCAATGTGCTGATTAAAAGAGGAACAAATGGATAGCTTCCAGGATTGTTCAAAATAAAGCAATCTCACATCTCACCAGTTATGCGAAACACCAAATAGGCCCCTTTTAGCTTCGTGTATGTTTCAGAACAGTGGCTATATTCACTTTGGCTTTGAATTATAGGCTGTCAGAAAATCATTTTTAATAATGAAAATGTCACAAGTGACTTCATTAATTCAGTGAGAATGCCACTATAAAACCTCAACTCAGCAAGCACAACCACACAGAAACCAAATCTGGAAGAGAATGGAACCCTCTGATGGTTGAGTCATCCTTCTCATCATAGATTTTGCAGCTATTTCCAGAGCTCAGCCTCTGTTCCAATAGGATAGTCAGAATAATCTTTACTTCAATGTATTTTTCTGCCATAGAAGCTAAACTTTTTATGCAATTCTATAATGAAAGTTCAGCTATAAGCAACTTATATTGTAATATTTAATTTTTTTAATAAAAGCAAAAACAGTGACATACACTTTCCTAGCAAATAAAAACTGAATTTATTCTGATGCCAGGAAGATTGTAGGTTTTATATAGTAAATTATGCATTTTATTACTGAATAGTCAACATGCTGATATATTTATTCCAGATTACATAACATCACAATTTTTTTCCTGCCATACAATTTGGGAATTTTTAAATCAAAAGGTGGATTGGCCAGCTCAGTGGTGCAATGGTAATGCAATGCTCAAGGGAAGCCAGATCCACATGGATGGCAGGTTCAGTTCCCTGGGAGGAAACTTAGGGAGGGGGTGATAGGCTCATGGGGCTCTATTGAGGGTACTTCTCTCTCTCTCTCTCTCTCTCTCTCTCTCACTCTCGCTCGCTCTCTCTCTCACTCTCGCTCGTGCTCTTTCTCTCTCTCTCTCACTCTTGCTCACGCTCTTGCTCTCTCTCTCAAAAAAGAAATACATTTTTTTTAAAAAAGGTGGGTTTCAGGTAAGATTATTGATGTAAATTGAATAGTGTGAGTAGAGGTTGGCAAACAGGTATTAATGGTCCATATTCAGTTGCCTTTTTTCTATATAAAGTTTTATTTGAACACAGGTTTCCTCATTCATTTACATATTTTCTTTGGCTGCTTTCATATTACAGTGGCTATGTTAGTATTTGGAAGAGACCTATGGTTTGCAAAACCTAATATATTTAACCCTTTACAGAAAATGCTGCTAGTTTCTGCTACCAACTTAGAATCAGAAGTGCTACTCATAGGTTTTGCCCTCTCCCACACAAGTTTACTGGGCTGTGATATACAACCTTTTGATGCATATTCATTTTGCCTTCAGGTCACTGCCCACACACTAGTCCTTTGGTCCAATCTAATTAGCTCCTCAGGTAGAAACGCATGTAGCAGTCATTCTATCCAAACATCTCATTTTAACAGAAGAAAACAGGCCCAGGAAAGGGAAGTAATTTTTCCATATAGAATTCAATAATGAAACAGATACTAGACCCCAATCTGGACTTTTTTAAAATTTTCAAAGGGTGCATGTTTTCATTTGAGAGATGGACACAGAGAGAGACAAAGCCAGGG